CACATCTGCATATGGCTGGTCTTGCTTGGTCCCTTCAGGGTACAATCCCGAGCATTTCTTGTGGATTTAATCTTCACCACCTTTTTGACCCATTTTTCTTGTTTCCTACCCTCTGCTTCACCCAGACTGTTCATCATGGTCATCACTTCATGTATGAGACGACCAATGTATAGAACCAATACAGCCACCAGAGACCCAAAGGACATCGATGGAGCATTCTGTAGCACTACATCCCTCATGCTGCCTGTGAAGTATTCATTGTCTGGGCCTCAGGTGTTCACATTAAACACTGACTGTTGCATCCCCAGCTCTTGAATCACTTGGGCCAGCTTGCATACTTTTGCCATTTACTCATGGTTTGGGGCAGTTCTCTGGCATTCATTCACATGGTCTGGACAGCTGCATTCACCCATTCCATTACGGAGTGGTTATCCTGTCCTGGTGCATATCTGCAGCTGTTCTGTAACTGCTGCTACAGGAACAGATACATGGTGATGGAAGTCAACTTTTCCATCTCTTCACCAGAGCACATTATGCCATTCACCCCTAAATCCCACAGCTGCAAAAGCCAAGCAGTTAGGCGTTCACCCTGTTTCTGGTGAAACTGTTTCCCCAGGCCCATCAACTTAGCTTGAGTGTAACGGACATGCATAGTGAATTGGGTCACTTGTGGGTTGCCTACTGGTTGTCCGCCTTGTCCTATGGGCTGTTCATGCTTCAGTTTCTGATGCACAACAGGTAGTGCCAGGGGATGCACAGTCTCCTCCAACTCACCACCAGGTTCGTCATCATCCTCAGTGTTGGAAGCAGGAGTGACCTGTTGCTGTACTTCAGCCTCCAGAACAAGTACCTGTGCTTCCACCAAGTCTGCTTTCTGCTGCAAATCTTGAAGTCACACCGCTTCATGGAGTGCCTGGTCCATGTTGACTCGTAATACAGTGAGCAACAGCCAGACCCTGGTCAACAGGAAAGCAGCTGCCGGGTACCACATACTCGAGGGCAGCCACACTTCCTCCCCATCCCAAGGGGCTAGTGGCTCCCTTACCTGCTCAGAATCCTGCTGACAACTACGCCAGTTGTCAGGATGGATCACAGACCCCTCTGCTCTGTCCTGTGCAGGTCCTGGGTCAGGTGAGTGAAAGAAAAACCAAATAGCCACCAGCAAAGTGGACATGCTTTATTCTTCAGACGTGAGCTCCGCCGCCTGGAGTTCAGAGCCACTGCCTTCCATACCGAAGAGTACACAATAGTGGCACTGAGCCAAGGGGTACACAGGCACGGATGCGCACTAACTCTACTCTTACGAAACTTGTTTACAATTGATGTGCTGAATCATACCCATCCAGATATGAGGTGAGAGGGCCTGACTAAACTAACTCCATTTTCCTCACAAACACCTTGAAGCACAAGTGTCTGGATATGAATACTGTGTCATTTCTCACTGACCAAACCAAATCTGATCTCCTAGTTGGAGCAAAGAGAAGAACCATAGAAAACAGAGGTAGAGTTCTCAAGCCAGAGCCTTCCAGGTTAGTTATTGTGTACCCAGGAGGTGGAAGTTAGTGGAAATTAGACCTCAAGAGGACAGTTGCTTGCTTGGCATCTGTGTTAGTTTGCTAGTGCTGCTGTAATAAAGTACCACAAACTGGGTGGCTTAAAACAACAGAAATTTATTCTCTCACATTCTGAAGGCCAGAAGTCCAAAGTCAGGGTGTCCAAAATCAAGGCCACACTCCCTACAAAGGCTCTAGAGAAGAACCCTTCCTGCCTCTTCCTCACTTCTGGTGGTGGCTGGCAGTCCTCGGCCTTCCTAGACATGCAGTGGTGTTACTCAGATCCCTGCTCCCACCGTTGCATGGCTTTCTCACCCCTGTGGGTCTCTGGGAGCTCTCTTCTTATTAGGACACCAAGCATGTTGAATTTAAGGCCCACCCTAATCCAATATGATCTTATCCTAACTACTAATTACATCTGCAAAAGCCCTAGTTCTAAATACATTTACATACTGAGATTCCAGTGGATATGGATTTGGGGGGGAACATTATTCCACCCAGTATAGCATCTTTGAGACATTTTTAGAAATCCCCTTTTAAAGGATCCACACCAATGCAAATATTTAAGAATATTTGACCAGCATGGCTAATACAATTAACTTAAACACTTCCACGTATCCCTGCCTTGCAGAAGTGCTCTTTCTGTGCTTACTGTCTAGAGAGAGCTTCGCAGTCTGACATTACCCAAACCTAACTCCTTATTACACACCTTCAGCACTTGTCTCTTTGCTATTCCTCTCTTTCTGTAGTCGTTTCAGTTGCCCAGTTTCCTCCCATTTTCATGTGTTCCTTTTTATTTTTACTGTTTTTAGATCTCTGTGTGTGTGTGTGTGTGTGTGTGTGTGTATGTTGAATGAAAAGGATGTTCTGTGCACATTTTAACATGTTTGTACTGACCAAATTTTTAAAAAGTTATAAAATCCATTAGGCAATTTAAATGCCTTTCCTCAAGTGTATGATAGTCCTCACTTTAGGGTCCTTGATATCTGTCCTCATAATTACTGTCACCACATAATCTCTTAAAAATATTTGAATGAAAGAGAGATTACCCAGTGGTAAGTTATAGTCAAAACATACTCTTAAAATGAGGTAATTCTTCTGTTTGGTCAGGGCAAGCATTTTTCTGTCCATTTGGTTGCATCTGTCCCTCTAACAATAGGCTATCTAGGCAGTTAGTGTGGGAAGGCTAGAACCAGTAGAAATACAAGATTTTTCAGTAGAGAGACACTTAGTTGACACCTTCTTGGTTTTATTTCCCCATTTAATCATTGATCTGCCCTAGAAAGGGAGGAGAATCAGTGGTTGTCTAGAGTGAGAATTGGCAGAGAGAGAGAGAGAGAGAGAGAAAGAGAGAGAGAGAGAGAGAGAGAGAGAGAGAGAGAGCGCTTGTATACAAAGAAGTATAAGGAATCTTTCTGATGTGATGGAAATATAGTGTCCAGATTGTGGTGGTGATTTCATAGACATACAGAAATGTTAAAACTCCTCAAATTACACACTTTAAGTGGATACCATTTATTGTGTATAAACAATTGCTTCATAAATTCATAAAGGCAAAAATCTGTTTCAGAGTTTGGCTTGAAACACTATAAAAGTCAGAGAGCTAAACTTATATACATTTTACTGGACTAAAAATAAAAAAAAGTAAATAAAATGTGTAACTGTCACTAGAAAAAATCATCATAGACACCATTCAATAACTTTAAGTGTCTTGAATGCATATTCAACACTCTTTTTTAAAAAATTCTCAACTTTGAAGATGAACTCTAAAGAGCAGTACATAAAGCGATTAAACTGATTTAAATGCACACTTTCTATTTAATCTATATCCATATTTTAATACCACAAATTTTGTCTAGAAATCATTTGGTAAAGTATTTCTCAAGACCTAGCTCAGATATGGTTCTTTGCAAGTCTTCTATAACAACACAGAGCAAGATCAATTTCTTTCCTTAATGCAATTGACTATCACTATTTCTCACTTTTTTCTGTTATTGTTTATTATATCAGATTCTACTTAGTATTTTACCTATGTTCTCCATTAGGTTGTTTAAGCTTTGAATTCAAGAATTGCTTCTTTAAAAAAAAAGTTAGTTTTTAACCTGAGGAGCTTATAATTATGCCTACTGTGTGAGGCATTTAATGAACATCTCAATAGTTTTTGAAAGGTTGTGACTACAATCTAACTGAATAGTTATGAAATAGTCTTTTCCAGATTACTAACACCACCATGCTTTCATTTTTACCCAAATTGAAGAGAACAATGACAAACAATTTGCAATGCCTTACTCTAACACGGGAGCCAGTAATATGCTTCAAAATAAATATGAATATTCAATAGATGGAATAATACTAATATTAATTTTTCCTCCAAGTGTTTGCACTTATCTTTATTCTTTTGTTAATACTATATATTTTTTGTTGATTACCTCGTTGATGTTATTTATTCTCCCTTTTAATTTTCATTTTCATTGTACCTCTTCCTGCCCCTCACAAACCAGGATATATTTATTGAAAATGCGGTTTGTATAAAGCACTATGCTGAGTCAGTGAGATTGAGATTTAGAAAGACAGTATCCACATCTGCATATGAGTAATATTTTATTTAATTACCATACATTTAGTTGCTTCAGAAATATCTTTTGGGATAGCCGTATTGGATATATCTATAATCCACTCTTCTCTCTCCTTAGGAAGGAATGGAATGACCACAAGTGATATAAACAAAACTGAAGTTGCTGAATTTCTCCTTACAGGATTTTCAGACTCCTGGAAGGTTCAGATTGTACATGCTGCTCTATTTTTACTAATTTACCTGGCAGCTCTCATAGGAAATCTCCTAATCATGATGCTTACTACTCTGGACGTTCAACTCCAAACCCCAATGTATTTCTTTTTGAGAAACTTGTCTTTTTTAGATTTTTGCTACATCTCTGTCACAGTCCCCAAATCTATTGTCAGTTCCTTGACTCATAATGCCACCATTTCTTTCTTGGGGTGTGCTCTTACTCTGGACGTTCAACTCCAAACCCCAATGTATTTCTTTTTGAGAAACTTGTCTTTTTTAGATTTTTGCTACATCTCTGTCACAGTTCCCAAATCTATTGTCAGTTCCTTGACTCATAATGCCACCATTTCTTTCTTGGGGTGTGCTCTGCAAGTCTTCTTTTTCATTGACTTGGCATCGACTGAGATAGCCATCCTTACAGTGATGTCCTATGACCGGTATGTGGCCATCACCCAGCCCTTACATTATGAGGTTACCATCAACCAAGGTGCCTGTGTGAAGATGATGGCCATGTCATGGCTCAGCGGGGTGATCTGTGGACTCATGCATGTGACAGCAACATTCTCATTACCATTCTGTGGGTCTAATAGAATAAATCAATTTTTCTGTGATATTCCACAACTCCTAAGTCTCTTAGACTCGAAAGTAATCATCATTGAGATTGGAGTCATGGTTTTTATTACAAGTCTTGTCATAATCTGCTTTGTTGCAATTACTCTTTCATACATGTACATTTTTTCTACCATAATGAGGATTCCATCCAAGGAGGGTAGATCAAAAACATTTTCTACTTGCATTCCGCATCTTGTGGTTGTAACACTCTTTATGGTATCTGGCAGTGTTGCCTATGTGAAGCCACTGTCAAATTCTCCCTCAGTTTTGGATCTTCTTCTGTCTGTATTCTATACAGTTGTTCCCCCAACCCTGAATCCCATCATCTACTGTCTAAGGAACAAGGACATAAAGGCAGCCCTGAGAAAGCAGTGTGGTATGCTAGATGGAGAATTTTATTAGGGACCATAACTCCTGAACTCTTGTTCTAACCAGGCAATTTGTAAGCTTCCGAGCTTAGATTTCCAATTAATAGCTGAGCTCTTTCTTGATTTTTAAATAAAATTCAGCTGTAGTCTAGCAATAATCTCTATATTTGGGTGAATTCAACCTTCGAATGCACTAGAATGTACTTTGGGGTGTTCACAATTGATCTCTTTCTACATTTCCTACTTCAGATCCTGGATAATTTTTCTCATTTTGTTGTGGCATCTACATGAGTCTCCCTGTGTCTCATTGAGTTTCTTAAGATGGTTGCTAGGAATTCCTTTTCGGTCATTTCAAGGACTTCCTGCCCTACAGGGTCTGGTGCTTGAGAATTATTATATTCCTTCAGTGCTGCCATATTTCTTTCTTTCTTTGTTTTTGTTTTTTAGTGCCTACATTGATGTCTGGTCATCTGGTAGAGAAGTTGCTTGTTCTGTTATGCTGGAGTGGGCTTTGAGGAGAGAGACATCCTTTTGTAGATATGTTTTCTATTGACCATTTAGTACTAGTTTTGGGTAGACACAGTAGTGTACTATCCATTTGGGTGCTTGAGCTGCATTCGGTGTTGGCATTGCATGTGAGTGCCTCCATGACATAGGCACTGGGCACCTAGTGATTTCTTGCTGAGGTTAGTGACACTATGTTGGTTCATTGAGTGCATGGGTGAGCTCTCAAGCTCTTGAAAAAAATGCCTAGGTTTCCTGTTTCTCTGGCTGAGTTGACCCTGGGTGAGTTTGTTGGCACCCCGGCTAGTGTCCCATGACCCCAGTATACTGGGGTATACTGGAGCACCTCATTTTGAATGGGTGACTCTGGATTGTGTTTCTCTTTCCAACAGGTAGAGGCTCCTCCTGTGTCCTTGCTTCCCCTGGGTTGGGGGATGGATTGGTGGTGATTGGGAATTTTATTTCTTACTCTATTTGAGTACCCTAGTTTCTGTTCTCTCCCCAGATCAAAGAAGTTACATGGGCTGTGCACATCCCTCCCACCCCCAGGTGTGCTACTGTATGTGGCAGCATAATTCCCCCTATGGGTTGGGCCACTGGTTTGTGCTTGTTCTCCTCTTTCCTTGGGCTCCACTGGTGACTGTCCTTGTGTCAGTGCAGTTGAATGGTCAGTGGGCCACCTAAACAGTGGTGGTGGCTGCTCTTATGGTGGCAAGCCACCCTTATGGTGGCATTGGCTGTGGTGGTAGCTGTGGCAGACTAACTACATAGCAGCAGTGTCTGTGGCCGTGGTAGGGGCTTCCTCCTCTCTGCTGGTCATGCAGGGAGCTCCACGTGCCTGGAGAGGTCTCTGGGTTCACTTTCTGCCATCCATTTTCATGTTCTTTTTTCTCCCCCCAGCTGGTTGGTATGGGGATCCAAACCCTTGACCTTGGTTACAACATTGTGCTCTGACCAACTGAGCTAACTCGCCAGCCCTACTTTTCCTTTTCCTTTTTTTTTGTGCTTTTAGTGTAATGTCTAAGAATCAATTACAAAATTAAATTCAGAAATATTTACCCTTCTTTTTTCTAAGAGTTTTAGGGTTTTAGCTCTTACATTGAAATCACTGATATATTTTGAGTTAATTTTTACATGTGGTGTGAGATAGGGGCTCAAATTTATCTGATTGTATGTGGAATATGATTACAGCACCATTTGTTAAAGAGACTATTTTCTCATTGAATAGAATTGGCATTTTTGTCAAAAAA